ATTACTAAGATTTATTGACAAGGAGCACATATGTGTACTGCAGAAAATGTTTTTCTCGAAATACACTTCGTCACCATGCTTTATCCTTTAACGCTAAGATAACTTTCTCCTGGCTGTAAAGCTCCCCTCCAATAATCTTTTCATTAGTCTGATAGTTGCCGAAAAACAAAAACAACTCTGTTTTGGAGCTGCATCTTGTCACCGAACTAAAGTATAAGGGGTTTGTTGCAACATGGACATTTTCTGTTGTAACACAGTATCTACCCCTCTTTGTATTTTAAGATGCACACACTTATTCCTAGATTTCTTTTTTAAATTCTACTACACTGGAAGATGTTTCCTGTTATTTTGGGTTCAATTACAGACAGAATTGTACTCTTTAAGAAGATTGTTGCAGGTGGACACCATTTTCTGTGATTTCTGCAAATAATAAAAAAAATTCTTGCCCGCAGGTGATTAAAATACCTCCACTAGCCTCGAGGTTATAGCTTGTGTGCTGTAAGTGTATTCATAACCTAAGCAAACCAATTTAACAAATTTAATTTAGTTCATGTCAAGCATACTCAATACACTAATATATGAGATGGCGGGAATTCACTGCAGCTCTCTTAAATAAAAACAAGTCTAAAATTCTAATGCAATTGCTGAGTCTCTGGTAAAAGCTGACCATAAGGTGAAACACTTTCCAAGGGAAGCATTAGACTAATGTAATCCATCTGAACAGCTCTGGGGACTGAGGCAGGAAGATAATCAGGTTAGAGTCTGTGAAATACACAACGCTGGGCATCATAAATTGGCCTGGAGGAGAGGGAACCTGCTGGATAAACAGTGCTGTAGTGGTACACAGTGACATCGGCTGCACATCCAGCAGTCTGGCCCCTTCTGACCATTAAAGCTAATGAGTTCAGGCTCTCAGCACCACGATAGCTGTCAGCACAGCATCCACACAGCAACAATAACAGCACGGACAGCAAGTGTCGGGAGGCTGACCCGATCAAAAACACAGGCATGGGTCATTGTGGTTAGGCTCCATGTTCCTGCCATGCTTTGGTAGGATACTGTCAGGTTGACGGAATAAGGTTAAGATGAATCTCTGCTGGTATACATTAGCTGAAGTCAGACAAAGGTCATGTTCAGACCCTTAAAAAAAGGGCAGGGCAAAGGGTGCCATACTAACTGTATGGTGATTAAAGCAGCACTTAAGCATTTTAGTATTGCACTTTAATAAAGAGACAGATTTTTAAAATTCATTTTAAAGTATACGAAACCAGGACTTTTACTCAAGCTTAAGAAAATGCTGGATTCTACAATTCCCATAATGCAGGAAGATAGCATCTTTCATTAGACCTTTCCTGTCGTAAAGTGCCTTCCATCTTCCAAACTCCACACCTCCAGTTTTCTCAAGTCTCAACCTCAACCTGACAGAGCCCCGATGACATCATCAGGGTTGGTGAAGCAAATAAAGGTCACTCAAACAGCATTGTTGTTGTTTCCCTAAACCAATTTTTACATGGGGTATGAGTTTAATATGAGGCGTAGCCCCACACCAACTCAAGGGGCTTGCATCAGTGAGCTACGAAACTGCCTTTTGGGTAAAACTGTTCTTTGATGTATTACAACTTAATGTTTTCGTAAGAGTAAGTCAATTTGTTGGAATCCGAATTTAAGCAGCGACTTACCGCTTAACATCCACAAAAACAAAGGCTGCGGAGTCTGAGATGCAACAGCTGTGTTAGGCTTGATGGATTCATGTCAACAGAAAATGTGGTGTTGTCTCTGGATTGTTTACCATGTGTCTAAAAGAGAAGTAAAAATATCCCTCTGTATCCCTTTGTAATTTTATTTAATGATCTGACCTGCTCTGATCAGTCAGAGAGGCAGCAGGGAGGGACACCTGTCCAGAGTTTGACACTTGCAGACGGATGCAGTTGCTGATTTTGGAGAACTGAAAATAACAGGATGAAATTAATCACTGTGCTGCCTTCAAAACACAGAATATTATATCTAATTCAACTTAGGAAAATAACACAAGCAACAGTCATGACAGAAAGAAACAGTTGGTATCAGATCAGCCAGTTCTAATGAACATAAATCAGTGTTTGGGATGTGTCCTAAAAAGCCTGATTGGAACTTCTATGCTGACAAAAAGTGGGATGGTGGTGACAAAGTTTAAAGTCAACCATTTGGCTCAGGTCATAAAAAGTTTTAAGTTCATTTATCTACAGCTGATTATCACTAGCTTGCTTTAGGGCACTTTACAGATACAGAAAAATCAATAATAATCTCCCAGAGTTGAATTATCAACAATCAGTGAGCAAAACAATAGAAGTTGTAGAGAATAGGACACAAAATTGCCCCAGCTCTATGAACCTCTGGTGAAAATAGTTTTTTGACTTGTTGTAAATGTGAATGCACAGTAGACCGATAGCAGTGGGAGCTTGAGAGCTGACTAATGCTTTAGAAAGCTAATGGGGCCCATTAACAAGGACTTGGTTTGCAGGCAGGTAGAAAGGCTTAAAGCCTACGGGTTCTGTATAAGAGAAAGGAGGAATAAAAATGAACAGTAATTCATCTTCTGTGTTTAGTGTTCTATTGAGATAAATGCATGAATAAAGGCTCTAAATAAAACATGAATCACATTCACTGCCCTTGAATCTTCACACATTTACATTGTATGCATGTGAGCAACACCAAGTAAACAGTACTTCTATTTCCATTTTTATTACTGTTATCAATATAATATTTTAAAATACACAAAAAAACAAAGCCCTTGTTTGATCGCGTACCTTGAACTCCATGGGTGTGTACTTCTCATTCTTTGGCGTGGTGTTGCCCTTGTAGTTAAGGTGGTTTGGGGTGGTAGGGTGAATGATGGCAGACTCCTGCGAAGGCTTATGGACACGTTGACAATAGACATAGATCAAGAAGGACAGCAGCCCCGCCCCAAGGAAACAGGAAACACCGGTGGCTATTAGGTGGATGGAGGTGAATGCTGGGAAACAAAGAAGATTTGTTGAGTGTTATTAAAGGCTCAGCATACGTTATCAGATTCTTCTCACAACTTGGCTTTATTTACATCCCAAACCTACCACAATTCGCACTCGGTGGTATGGTTAAGACACATACCCTGTAACCACAACATCCCCAGTTCAACTATGGCCTTTGTTCCATATTTTTGGGCTATATCTACACTGTACAAGTTGACAGTAAAATGTCAAAAGAAAAAATTGTTGTCGGTTTCTGCAACCAATTTTTAACCTGGAAACCTTGTCAAATTTCTAAACTATGCACCAAAATCAATCTCTGAAAGAATTTAGGTGAGAAAACCATGGCTTTACATAAGTGGTCACACAGGTGTACACACTCATCAATATTACTCTGTTACTCATGCTGACGCACCAAAACCCTTAGCTTTTAATTTGCTTAATTTAGCTAAACTGTAATGTTCATGTATGTGTTAAAGGGTGATTAATTCTCCCAGCAGAATCCTCGTTGCTTATTGGATTCTTTCCGAGCTCCCTCAAAGAGCAGAGCTTTTTACACTAAATAAAACTGTATAACACTTTGCTGTAAATGTTACATTTTTTTGATTTTTTAGTGTCTGTGACTGAATTTAGCTCATGATGTAGCTCATGCTCCAGCTGTCCGAGGGTGCTATGAGAGACCTGTAAGATAATCTTTCCTTATTATGCAATAGAACACTAAGTTACAAAGGCTACGACAGGAAGTGACTGAGCTAAAAGATTTAAATATTGTATGTCTATTTGTCAAAAGTTATTTAAGCAATTATGATCTGTTTATGTTGATTTTTACTCTAGGACAGGAATATGAACTTGGCTTTGTATTTTTGGTTTGTACCTATCAGTACTTTGAAAAAATCGTCAGTTCTTTGCGTGTTTGTGGAACATTACACAAGCAGGATTGCAAAATGTGTCTCAATTTGCAATTATCCAACAGTTGTAAAACTTGTAGCCTGTTCCAGGCACATCATGGTGTACATAATGTTTCTTCCTCCTCCTAATTGGATGTTAGAATTTTGCACAGACTGAAATAAACACGCACATGAAAATGCACATATAATGCATGAATACACACATCATGGACAGACATCTGTAGAAACATGCACAGAGAAACAAAGTGAAGGCAGCTGTTCATCCACTTACCTCCACAGTGTTGGTCCTTATCAAAACCAGATGCAGGGAGAATGACTGCAGAGAGGAGAGGAACACAGGGTCAGACACACATGCATGCACACACACATGCACACGCACACATACACTCTCGTTGGAGAAGCAGCCTTCAGAACACAACAACCACCGACTGTAACACCAGGGGAGTTGACACATGCAGAAACAAAAACAGGGAATGAGAAATTGAAATGTCGTTTAAAATGTTGCATGAAGAGCTTTTTTTGCATTAGGGAATTCTAAAGTTGTTTAACGAAAGAAATCTCTGTCCGACTTGCTGTTGGAGACACTTGATGTCAGGGCAATAATTTACACCTACAACGCGTGTTGTCCCCCACAAATCCTACAAGGAAAGAACGGAGCACAGAAGGTTGAGATGAGTGTGAGCAGATTTAATTGCAGTGCCACATCTCCTGATTAATTTTTTGGCCTAATTTTTCAGCTTCCTCCCCTCTGCGAGTGACCTTAACAAATCCATCCATCGCCTCATTGAAATTTGCAATAAAATTAGATGTGATTTGGTGTTGTGACAACCCATTAATATTAATCGCCTGCATGTGGACTCATTAGGGATTCTGAGCACGGAGAGGCCAACAGTGGCAGGCCATGAAAGATCATTTCAGGAGAAACTTTCTGAGATCGTCATCAGCATAACAAGGTGCACTGAGGCTAACAGGGTCAACTGCTAACTTGTTGGATTCACATGGACTTAATTATGGTTAATTAACAGAAGCAGATTACTTTAGTGCATGAAGAGACACACAAATAAGACATGTTTGCGTATATGGACATGTTTGTAAATGAGGATGATGACTGATGAATGACTATGATTTGACAAAGACAGACAAGCTGTGTCCCAAAATCACAAGCTGCCTCTTTCAAATGATGCTGCCAACAAATATTTGGCCTAAAGGATTGTGGCCCGAACCTTAAACTCCCCCCAAAATCTGACCTTGCACAGACCAAAGCCAGCAGTATGTTTGGGTAAACCCTCAAATAGATGACAAGCAGTAACTGATTAAGTAATTAATTAACTATAGGGCTTGGTGATAAATGAATATTAATAACTTTTAGTGGAATTATATTGTGATTATATAATCTCATCATATTAATTAATTAAAAACAGTTTGGTCCCACTGAAAGGTTTGGTCACCTTTTTGCATTCTGCATATGATTGTAAAGTGAATATTTTTAGACTCTTAGTGAGAGAAAACAAAACCACATCATTTGGGCCCTGGGAACAGACACTTTTATTGGCTGGACCATTGGCAAATAGCCTAACTGTGTGTCAAAGTTGGTAGAAGTTTCTTTTTAAACTATTTACTCTTGTTCTTAACCCTTTTCTTGTTCGTGGTATCCCACTAAAATGGAAAACTGAAAATGTGTAACTTTTGTAAACTTTTTTTAAAGCGAACAAAGGTAATCCACTCAAACAAGCACATCATGTACTCACTTTCCACGTCAAAAAAACGAGCTTACAAGTTCCTACATAAAAGCATCATACCGTTTCCCTGACATAGGCAACCCAAAAGCACGATAAAACTAGTGAAATACATGCAGTGTATTTTGGGATATTTAGAGCTGCAAAGAAAACCAGTTGTGTCCTGGCAGATCAAGGCACTCAAGGAACCTTTGTACAGCCAACCTCGACCTGTTATGAAGGAGGATGCACAGGTACAGGGTGTATCTGAAACCTGTCTGACTCACCAGGTATTTCATTGCAGTCTCTGCGCTGAGTGCTGTTTCCCACACAGGGGGTGTTGCCCTGAGCACCACACACCCGACTCCTCATCTGCAAGCCTGAATCATCACAGGCTGACCACAGCGACCAGGCCATCCAGCCACCTAAACACAGAAAAAAGAGCAATCAATACAAACCCAGACAAACACAAGACCCCATCAGAATCGGACGGCCTGGAAACCAACGCGCCCACCCAAGCTGTCACCACCCGCGGCCACTAACCTTCCCAGCCAAACAGTCCAAACACACCAAAAAGTGTTTGTGATGTAAACAGGATTGGAAGAGTAAACCCGTGGAGAGTTTGTTTAGTGCATAGTGGAGATGTTTGTCTCCTGAGCCAAGCTTTAGTGCTGTTTCCCCGCAGCAGGCGACCGAGCAGTAAACAAAAGCTCCTACCCAAGAGGAAAAAGAAAATTCCCAACTCTCAGCTCCTCCCTTTGAACCATGCACTTGCTGCACTCTTTCACCCTGTATTTAAGAGCACCGGAGTGGAGGGAGCACAGGCTACTGCAATGAAAGGGCGATGAAAAAGCTGGTTTGTTATTCAGGGTGCTCTCAAGTGTGCAGTTTTGGCAGAGAGGGCCTGAGTCTAGGCAGAGGACAGGCCTCTTTTACCTTTCCTATCAGTCTGTTGCTCACGGACAGGCTGCTTCGTCTCCACCATCTGCTCCCTTCTTGCCGCACAACCGTCTAGGCACACAAAACACACCGACCACCTCAAATGTGTTTAATAACCGTGCATCACTACAGCCCGCTTTAATTGCTTCATTTATTCCCATTTATTTTTGTCACCCGGACAACCTGCGTGATCGTACTGTTGAGTCAGAGGAACGCCATCAGGCCTGAGGCTCCTCGTTAGTATTCTGTCCCGACAGTCCTTCCTGCTGTCCTCTATTACTGGTGGAGACTTTAATCAAATGACCTGCGACAGGGACATCAAATATCCCTCTGACTGACAACCAGCTTGCCCATAATTACACATGCAGAGAGAATGACGGCAGCAGGAGGACCCCAATAGATGACTGATGTTGCACCTGTCAATAAACCAATGGACGAGGAGACGGATCGTGGCTGGACAGGTTGTTAGCAGACAGTCGATCGGCAAAAGCAAGGTCCACGTCAAAGAGGAAAACATTAACCTGATAAAGGAGGCTGATTAGCATCTTGGCAAAGTTAGAAAAAAAGACAAAAAGCCATTTACCTTCCTTTGTCTGTAATTACCGGAGACGCTGACTGTAAGCGTTAATCTCCCTGTGAATGACAGTTGAGCTGATGCAAAATGAAACGCAGCTGAAAACGACAGTTAAGCGGAAAACTATTTAATTCAGGCAGAAATCTTTGGCCCTATAAGGCACAACTGTACACACACACACACGAGCGGACACACATACTGTGAAACACACACAAAGACCCTAGACAATATTTTTCTAGGCCATTTTGTTTTCCAATGAATAAAGAAAATATGAAAATCACACTAGTGACAAAACGTTGAAGGCTGTGTGATATTAAACTCTAGCATCAGAGTCAGGCTGAAACCTTATTGTGAGTTTTGATGAAGGACTATTTTTTTCTCTCCTCCTGGATTAGCAGGCAGATCTCTCATGAATATTTCAGTGTCCTTGTGGGAGCAGAATGGGAGTAGAGGGGGGGAGATACAGAGGGCGTTGTTATACATCACACATCTCATCATCACATGGTGTGAGACTTTGGGTAAAGCAAGGCTAAGCTCCAAATCAAAGAAAAAAAAATTGATGGCCATTAGAGCACCTCATTTGGGATAAACAACCCATTTCCTATGTCTTCTTGTGTTGCTGTCTACTTCTGTTATTTCTCTTTTTAATGTGATGTTAAAGTTGTTATTGAAGCGTAAATTCATGCAAATGACAAAAACACTCTCACTTACCTCTTGTGGTATCGTTTAGTTTTTATTTATCCAGATTTTAAGATATCCACCACTGAGATTTTTGTCTTCTCCCCAATGGAGGTAAAATAAATTGAATTTGTAAAGCTCACAGCATGGAAAATTTACATTTAGAAAAATCAACAGCGTGTCACACTTTCACTGGATACTTTCAGCAGTCAACAGTTTTCTTAAAGTTTGCTTTCTTTTTGATTTCAAAATTGTTCACATTGTTCTGTGGATTACCAAGAGCAGGGGGGTTCAAGGTTTATAGGAATCTAAGGCCCACATATGAATTTTACCAAAGATCATAAGTGTGGAAAAATGCCACCAAAGTTCACCAAGAAATTATAAAGTTCGTCCATAACTGACTACACTTGGTCATGGTAATGACATTAGTTCTTACAATTAGACCAGAGTGAATGCTCACAAAAACTGAAGATGGATTTTGCAGTTTAGTAATTGATATACAAGTTGGTCTAGAGAAGCACCAACCTAAAGTAACTGGGACTCTTCTTTTGACATTTTAAATGGAAATGTTCAGGGCTTGGAGCAGCACAAACTGAATTCCATTCACCTCCAGAGTAAGTTTGGTCAAAGCAAAAATTGTTATTATCCAATGCACACCTGTTAGACTAGTGTGAAGGAAAAATAAATTATGAAAGAAAAACGAGAATGGACCTTTGGCAGGGATCCTTGCATCCTGGACAAAAGGTACATGACTGAAACAAGATTGGTGGAAGCAGAAATATCAGAATTTCCCAGAACCACAAGAGCATGGCTAAATACCACTAAAGGAGAGTAAGAAAAAATTACAAAACTTTTGTGCTTCTTTTCTATCAATACTTTCATGTTTGTCCAAAAAACTTGTCAGGATCCAGACAGATAGATAAACACTTGGTACTGTGGTATTTGCTTGCTTTCTAGTACCAGTTTCAAACATGCACTCTACATACACAAGCGGTTGAAATTTCAGACACGTTATGTAAGATTTCCATATTTTCAGCACACAAGTGGATCTCTTTTTAAACCTTCGCAGAGAGGTTGCCATGGCGCTCAGAGCACAGCAGGAACCGATACGGTGGAAGGATAGGTTGTTTTCTCAGCATGATTCTGTTTATCTTTTCACATATCTAAGACCTGGTTTATTCATTAGGAAAAGATGAAAGAAGCAATTTTGTGAAGGGGACGACACAAAAATGAAATGGTGTGTGGGAGATGATTGACTGCCTGGAGGCGTGATGAAAGGGCCTCAAGCGGTGGTGGCATGACAGAGTTAGATTTTGAATTTATGTGTGACCTTACCATCACAAGTGTGTGTGTTACACAGGGCCTCTTCAGTGTGTAGTCCTAGGCAGATGTCCCCTCCATTGGCGGGTGCAGGGCTGTTACAGGAGCGTGTGCGTTGGTAATGACCACCACCGCAACCCACTGAGCACTGAGACCAGGAAGACCAGCAGGACCATGCACCATTCACTGTAATACACACACATAAATAATAATTAAAGCAGCACTCCAGTCTTTCTATGCTATGTAAAAAGCTGTGTAGGATTTAGTGGCATCTAGCGGTGAAGTTACAGATTGCAACTAACTGAACACTGCTCGCGTCTGTATTTGTAGACCTGGGAATGAGAACGGGCTGTGAAGTCTGTAGGA